TGGTGGGTTTCTTCATATTAAGTCAGAACTCTAAAGTCTTACACATTTTATTTGCCAAGAAATTTTTTTAACACTTTGACATGTAGGTAATTAAACATTGTTATTAAAATAGTTTCTTATATATGACCATTCAAGGGTTTCTTCTGCATTTAAAACCCATGTATCAACTTATAAAGGTAGGTATACCTAAGAAAATTACCAATACAGTGAATTGTTGCATTAATTAGAAAGGAATGCGATGGTTCATATTTCAACTTGATGATTGATCTATTTAGAGCACAATGAGCATGTTTTCAACTCAAAGAGCAAGACCGAGGAAGATATCAAAAGGACTGAGGAAACGCCTCGCATTTAGTGAACTTCCACTTGTGTGGGTTTGATCAGTTGTCGCTGCTTCAGTTGTAGAAGGCCTCAACAAAAGTTACGTAACTTTCTCGTCCTAGCCGCCTCACTTTGAGAAAATAAAATTTTGATATACTGAGTACATATATATATATATATATATACTACATATAGTCACAATAGCTACACCCGCAGCTATACCTACCATAGCGCCGCTCCGTATACTATACCGTATACTATGTACATAATACAGCCTTTATATATATATCACCCCTCTACCCTACTGATACCTCACTACGCTACACATCACATACATCTTCGTGCTTTAGAGTAGAAGGCACCTCCAAAACAACCACACAGTTATTTACCCATCCCACTCCTACCATCAACCTCGAAAATAAAATTTTGATATATACGCACTTACTAGCTACCCTCGACTATAACTATATAATATACCGTATACGTATATATATAGAGGAGGAGAGAGAGCGAGAGAGGCAATACTATATCCAAACCCTAAGTTTGATGTCCACCAAAGTTTATAGCCACCCACATTATATTAACTATTAAACAACATTTTTATATAATACATGGATCACCTCCTTCAGCGCCAATAGATGAGTGTAAAAATTTTGGTGGACTCACCACTATTGCGCCTATCCACTTAAGTTCGAATACGGAAGTTTTCACCTATATAATTAGTATCTAAATACATATAGTGACCATATACTAATAAACGTAACTATATACTACGTCCCAACTAGTAATATATATATAGTACGGACCTATACACTCTATACCGCTGACTATACTATAGGCCCTATATCCTATAGGCTCTACTGGTTATAGCTAGTATACCTACTCAGCTATGTCATATTTAGTGATTGAATAGTATAACTATATCAGTATACGTAGTGGAAATATGACTGCAAATATGGTGAGTGAGCCGTGGCCCAAGATCCCCCACCCCCTACCCCCATACCAGCCTTGAAGAGAGAGCCTTACATACGTATCTCACCTACTTTCTACAAGAGGTTTTATTTTCAGGTGTGATGTTAGGGTGGGGTTGATTGATGACCACCCTAACTTACAAGTTCATGCCAGAATTGATATTCAAGTTTACTCGTATATTCTTCTCAGTATATTATCATATATAGGTACTATATACCTACTACCTATATAGTATATCTACAGTGCGTACCAATATACTGACCTTATATATACCGTCCCTAGTATATATACCTACTAGGTCACTAATCTCTTACTAATAACCCGGAGAAACTTGGTACCAAGGTTCCTCCGCCAATTAGAGCTTATAATTAGAAGTGACCTCCCCAGATTTCAGTGTGGTAATCAAAGATCATTATTAAAGAGATACACAACTCCTCTGCCATTCAAACGGAGTGTAATAATATCATCTACTCTACACCAACACACAAAAAACCAACTAAACACAGAATAATGGAAATCATGTAATCAAAATGACTCTTATAATCTCTTTTAAAACACCCTCACATAATTGAATCTGATTCACTCGCAGTGAATGGATTCCACACGCGAAAGTCTTTCGTTTTTTCAATTGAATCCTCAACTGATACCTATGGAGGTGAATCGAATTCATGGAGTGAATCGAGATTCACTTGCAGTGAATCCCGAGTTCCAGTTATGTGGAGGTGAAAACCTGGACTGATTGAACTGGCTTCATCCAGTGACCATCTGATCATTGGTTGTTTGCTTGGCCCCTACTTTAAGAATTGCACTCTTTAATGGCATCCAAATAGCAAGGGGTTTTGTACGTCGTTTTGTTTGGTTGTTTGCTGCAAGTAAATAGGTTTTAGTTTTTTAGTCTAGGAGGTTTTTATTAGAAACCTACCATCATATACTACCTACGCCTCAGCTGCATTCTATGACGCGTATAGTATATTCACTATATACTATACTGATCCTACCCTGATCAAAAATGGAGACTTGGTACATTAATGTCTCTCCAAGCAACTTGGTAGTGCGATGTGGCCTACAATCTCTGCCCCTACCATCCACTCGAAGATACGAGCCTCACACCACCCTTCCTCACCTCCAACTGAGTGTAGCCGGAACAAGATTATGAGCCGCTCACATCACTACCAAGTTTGTTTGCAGAACTTGGTGACCGAAGTTTTCATTTTTCTCTATCTCTCTCTCACTCCTCTCCCTCTCTTATATATACTAGTCATACTTACTATAGCGTACTCATATTACTAATAGTACTATATACTTAGTATCGCTACCCCTAGCTAATATACCCCTACTATATAATATACTATATAATATATATATACATACCGTACCATGATTCAATATTCCTACCTATACCGCTAGAGAGAGAGAGAGAAGAGCAATCCTGACATCTGATGCTTATTATAGTACCATTTTCTTTTTCTAATTTTTTGCTTCTTTTACATAAAACTAGTTAAAGTGATGGCTGAAGAATGTCATCATATATTACCCAATCCTTGTATGATCATATGACCTACATATGTATAACGTGTAGCAGGTAGCACAAGGACATAGAGTGACAATGGGCCCTTGGCGTGAATATGCCTCGTACTAATTAATTTCCTTGCTTAGCCTATGAGATTTCAAGCCTGGCGTTATCTATTCTGGCCTACCACAATATTATGATCCATTAATTGATGCACTAATCCAGCTACTACCTCTAATGATTTGATGCAGCTTATAAGTTGTTAACGTACAATTACTTTCTTTTTTCCCCACTTTATTGTTCTTTTTTTTTTTAGAGTTTGTTGCGATTGGCGTTGCAATTTTAGGGTCCTTCAACTTTTAAAAACGTTGCAATTGTCAGTTACGTCCAAGTCGTCAGCTGCGACTGTAATTCGATCTTCATTTATAATTAGTCACAGTGAAACAAACAATTCAAATAATCCAAAATGTTCCAATTGTATGTAGTAAACACAATGGCAATCCTGCAATTACAATGAACCATGAAATCCCAGATGAAACTTAACCCTAAAATTTAATATCTATTATATATTTTTTCTATAGCTGCACCAAACATCTTCTAGATTCAGGAAAATCATTAATTACCTGTTCAGCTCGTACCTATACATCATGAGCTTATAAATTATAATGTGCAGGCAGTTGACTCTTAAAAATTGCAGCAGTATATCCATTTCGAAGGGGAAGTTTTAATCTGCTTAATGTAACGACGACAAGTTTGAACAGGTGTTGGTGAACTAACTTTCTGGTAATTAATCTGTAATTAACTTCCGCCAAGCTACTATTAGGTGTTAATTACAGACTACTGAGTGCTTAAAGTATTACTATCTAGATCAAGCCCGTCAAACATAGGTTAGGCAAATCTTACATCATTAAATAGCTGTCAAAACCTAGGAAAATTGAATCCTCTGAGATCATCTAGTCTGACTCTTTGAGCTCAAAACACGCTCGTACTTCCTTTCTAATTACTGAGCAAACAAATTAACTGCAATTACCGCATTAATATCATTCGTTTATTTTATTAAACCACAAGATGTGCAAAACTCTTCTATTGACATGGGTTCAAAACTGAAATTATGAATTATGATTAGAGGCAAGCTAAGCACATAAGGACTAAATGTTGGGATATTCATTTGTAAACATATATAGTACTGCATAGTAAAGAAAGAGCGATGATTTTAAGTAGGCTTTTAGAGCCAATTCAGAATACTTTTAAGCTTTCGGGTTAATTAGCAAAGCCAATCTCAATATATTTAAGGCTGTAAACTTCCAATTAGGTCCGGTTTCTCGAGGATTAGTGTATGGTCCTCCTGCGGTTGGAACATCAGCAAAAGGAGAGATTTTCCAACACATGCCATCATTCTGCGCATTATTTTAGCGAGTCATTCTAAAGGACATGGTATTATTGACAACCGACTTAGTCATGAAAATCTCTTCTGTGTAAATCTCAGTTCAGATATAATCAATTCATAATGTATCTATTAAGCATTATTAATCCACGATTCTTTGCTTGTTATCCAATTCATCTCACCTTCTCTATCAACTCTCCTGGGTTTAGTGCTGATCAGATATGGTCGCCTTCGATGTCTATAGAAGAGCCATCTTCATGTCGAAGCCTTCGAAATCCAGTAGCAAGAAATTTCTGGTCGATGCTGGGAGGCCCCTCTTCACTCTGAAATCCAAGGTTTCTTATTGAGATTTGTTTTTGTTATTGTTTTGAATTATAGATATATAATTCCTTTTATCTATACCTCCAGTAGTATTTACTGGATTTAGAGGGACATTTACATTAATCATAGCTGTCGATTTGTCTAGTATGTGACTATAATTCATACCAAATCTAACACTCAACAACCTTCGATGTCTATATAAGTGCCTCCGATGTCTATAGAAGAGACATCTTCATGTCGAAATTAACCTTCCAAATCCAGCAACAAGAAATTTATAGACGATGCTGAGAGACCTCTCTTCACTCTGAAGTCCAAGGTTTCTTATTGATCTTTGTTTTTGTTATTGTTTTGAATTATAGATATATAATTCCTTTTATCTATGCCTTCAGTAGTATTTACTGGATTTAGAGGGACCTTTACATTAATCATAGCTATCGATTTGTCTAGTATGTGACTATAATTCATACCAAATCTAACACTCAACCGATTTGCACTCATCTCCTAAAGTACACTCAAAGTCAAATCATAACCGACCATTAATAAGTAATATAATAATGGTCTCTTCATTACTATTTTTTAGTTGAGAGGATCTCCAAACTCTTTTATTGGTACTTACCCTTAATTCATGAGGGAAAGGAAGCTTATCTACAATTCAGGATCAGGAGGCTAATCTGGAAGTGATAACTATTTTTTTTGAAGTGGTGCTGTTAATTGACGATGATAACTGTTGGGGATTTTAGGTAATCTGTAATCCCCTCCTACGATCTCCTTGCAAGTCGGAAGCCAACTCATAATCAATAAGATAGAAATATCATAATAAAGAAGAAGAATACCTAGAATTACGTGGTTTGATCGATCAACTTTACCTACATCCACAGGGCAACAATAAGAGAAATTCACTATGTATCAAGAAGACCTATAAAAGGAATCACTCAACTATCGTCTCTCAATCTCTCAACCTCACTAATATAATCAACTCTCATATTCTCTCCAAAAACACTCTCCGTGCAATCTTTTGGAGGAACGAGACTATAAAACCCTCTCCCAATATTGGGATTGTTTACGCTGATAAAGACCATGAAACCTTCGCTAATATTATAATCTTTTATAGATAAAGATTACAAAACTCTCGTGTCTTGCACAATATTCTTGAATCACGCCACGCCACCTGTTAACCCAAGATTACAAGAACATTGTAGGCATCTAAAAATGTCTATAGGTTCCCGTATACGGCTGAAAATAAAGAGGACGAAGTGCTGTCAGATTAGAGATTAGAGCACAAATTTCAGAGAGTTAGCAGATCTTGGCGGAGTTCCTCAACAAAGTTAGAGTTCGAGAGATCTGAGACTTATTCTTTCTTTTCTTCAGATTTAAGCTTAATCTTAAACCTCGAGAAGAACCGTGATCTCGCTTGGTCGAGATTACCGTTGTTGCGATTACTTACTTGGTGAAGTGAAAACATTAATTATCTATCTTCTGCTAATCGGATCTGATCCGTAGGCGGTACACGAATAAACCCCGGCACCGGTAATGATCCCGCACAAGCAATAGGTGATAAACATCTATTGTGTGTAGTTTGAGAGAGAGTTGTAATTGTTGATTAAAGGTCTTATAAAAAGGCTATTTCTTTGAGTTTATTGTAGTGTTTGAAGTTGTAATGAGCTCATCAATGAAATCAACTTTCCACCCAAACAAGCTGACGACTACAGTAGGAGCCAATAGCTTCACTGCCGAAGCTATCGTGCTGCAACCATGGATCCGGATCCCGGTTGACGAAGAAGTTGAGTACGAATTCGATCAACTGAAGTTCGAGGAGTATCTGTCATCCTCCTCCTCTAAATCCTCTACCCCTCGCAATCGTAGGAAAATCAAGGCCCCCGTTGCTATTGTAATCTTGCCTTGCAACACCCCTCTGGCCACCAACAAGCCCGGATATACAAATATAGACCCTTCCTCCATCAAGGGGTCAATTGTAGAAGGCACGCCAACCCTATCAAAAAGGGCACGCCAAAGAGAGCGCCAACGACTTGCGCGCTGACTTGCTAATGCTTTGGAGCCAGTTGACGGGATTCGCTACGAAGCGGATCTAAAGTCCAGAAGACGCCAACCCCCTTAACAGCAAGCAAATGGACTCTTCTCCAAACCAACAACGAATGAATGGATCCAAGTCAAACAGACCCGCTCAACCCTCGAGGAGCGCATTCAGAAGCATCGCGCCTTGATTGCGTACACACGAATTCTCATGCGAGAAGCGCAGAAGCTGAAGCAAAAAGAGGTGATCAAGAAGCCACCAAAGCTACACCAAGTATGGAAACCAAAGTCCGAAACAGCGTCGAAAAAAAATCGAACACTGCCCAAACCTCGCGAACCAGCTCTGGCTGGCTCGGCCAAAACTAAGCCACCAAATGGTGGCTCGGCCAAAGCTGAGCCACCATTGGTTGGTTTGTGCTTGAGCCGAACCGGTTCGGTTCGCTTTGTGTCCAGTTCACCTCTCGCGTCCTGTTTTAAATCTCCGACAGCTCCTATTCTTGTCCCGATTAATCCCGCACTTCCGGTGAAGCCTCACGACCATGGAGACTTGTCCCATTTCAAGATGAGAATGACGGATCGCCTGGGTTCTTTGTACGAGGATCAAGACAAGGTTCCGATCAAAGAACACTTGGGTCCAGTGACTGAACCACGACCAACCACTCGAGGTAGGGGTCTCACACACTCTTGCAACAAGTCAGAGCCTTCCTATAATAGGAAAACCCCGGCACTTGACCGCCTCGAATGGCGAATTGAAGTCCAAGGGTCCGTCAAGAGTTCGCGCTCCCACCGTAGCTCCAAACGCATGACTCTTAAGAACGCCAATAAGGCAGCAAGCTCTCAGAAGGAAACATGTTGGTCAGACGATAGCGTTATACCTGAGGAGTCGTGCCAACACACGATAGGTTACTCTGATCATCTGATTGACGAGTTGTACTATCGGGCTGGGGGTACGAACAAGTCTCGGAAGAGAAGTACCCGAGAAACAGAATCTCACTGCCCGTGCGCCAAACTAGTCAGGACAGTATTATCAGCGTGTAGCTACCCTAAGACCACTCCTCAGAGGGTCTCGGTATTCAAGAGGATCTCTAACGGAATGGTTAAGTCCAAGCCAAAATGCTTCTGCAAGAAACGATTGGTCGCTCAAGACGACGAACTTCCAGAAGTCATGATTAACATGGCTGATAAAGGAAAATCGACTCGACCTTCTAATTCTGACCCGCTCATATCGCATCGTCTAACCCGTTTGTGATCAGGAACCATTAGACAAAAGGATTATTAGAGAATGTAAAGGGGATTATCCTCGGATGATGAAGCATCAGATGCCAACTCTGTAGTCGCTTCTGACAAAACGGTATCCAGCCCAGGATAATCCTGCGAGGTGTTTATGATTAACACCGAGGAAGTAGCCAAAATTGTGGAGGATGCTTTGGCCAAGCAGAAGCAAGCATTCAAAATTAAAATGAAAATGGTTATGCAGGAGATGAGATAAATGCACAACCAACAGATCCGAGCCTTGTCGAATCAAATAGGTGAATCCAGTCGTCGTAACAATGTTAGCCAAGCAGCTAGCGATTCAGACGTGGATGAATATATCAATGCTGACAATCCGCTTGTTGACCAAAATGCTGGGGGTGGTCTTACTGAGAATAACGACGTCAGGGGTGGTCCTACCAATGATAACAACACTGGGGGGTGGCTCTGTTGTTCCTCTCAGAAATCGTCCAAAGCATGATACAGACAAGGACGAAAAGATGAAGGACCTCGAGAGCAAAATCAACACTCTGATGTCTGCTCGAGAGGTAAAGAGAACTGATATTCTGTGTCCTTACCCACGAGAGTGGGATTCAATACCATACCCGACGAAGTTCAACCTGACCAACTTCACACCATTCGACTGGAAGGGTTCGCCCACTCAGTATCTGATCTACTTTAAGTCTCACTTGGGTATGATCTCTGGCAATGAGGCATTGATGGTCAGGTCATTCGTCAGCATCCTTCGTGGGCCCGCCTTCGATTGGTACTGACATCTCAAGCCTGGAAGCATCAACAATTGGGATGACCTGGAGAACCTGTTCCTCACTCACTTCTTTGATGATGATGCCGAGGTATTAATCAGAACACTCTTCAATGAGAAACAGGAAGACGACGAGACAGTCGACGACTTCATCAAGCGCTTTCGGAGTAAGGCGATAAACTACCGAGATCCGATCACAGAGGACTTCATCCTCCAAACCTGTCATAACAACCTCTCTTTGGACGTGTTGGAAGTTATGGGGTAGCACCGTCCAATATCTGAAAAGAGTTAAAAGTACCCGAAGAGCAGGTCGAACGCTTCCTCAGAAGGAAGAAAGCCGAGAGAAGCCGACCGACGGCTAACCCTCCAAATTTAAGTTTCGTCTCCTGTGATAAAGGGAAGGCCCCTGCAGCTGCTGTTGATGCTAATCAGACGTCACAACAGCAATCCCAAAGATAGCAAAAGACTTCGGATCCAAGATATGAAAAAGAGTACTCCTTCAAGGATAAAGACATTCTAGCCATTTAACAAGATCAAGCTACCACCTATCGCAGATCAGGAGGAAGTTGATAATACTTTGGATCCAAAGTACTGTGCGTACCACAGGAGGATCCTTCATCCTACCAAGGCTTATTTTTTTCTTAAAAATAGCATCCAAACCTTGGTTGAAGCTGGCGTTATAATGCTAAATTAAGCTGAATGACACTCCGAAGAGTATATGAGTATAAACTGCTTCTCAGTACTCCAACAGGTATACGAGTCTAAACTATTTCCTAATTTTAATGGGAAATTCCTGGAAGAATATCGTATGTGATATTCTTAAGGATAACCCGACCATTCAGCTAAGTACAATGTTAGATCCAGTTTCACAAAGAAAGCTGGGGATGGATGTAACGAGAAGTTCCCAAAAGAATGCTATATGTGGTGTTCTTAGGGATAACCCGGTCGCTACAAAAGGGGATGAATAAGAAACTCCTACTTGAACTCTAAATGCTTCCAAAAGTGAAACACGTCCAATTGCCGAGATCAGTTTCA